AGATCAATTTTTGCTGAGATTGTTGATAATCTATGAAAACTTTTAAAAAAGCAAAATGATGCAGCTATATTACCTCTGGAATGTCTTTATACCAACAAGACTGCATTGACCTCGATGGTGAATCAGCAATCCTCACCGGTGAAACATTTTACCCTTAAGAAGAAACTAAAAAGTGCATCCTTAAAGGCAGAATTACTTCAAAAGAGCATAGATAGCTGCTAATAATAGCTGCTAATAATTTGAAAAGAACACATCTCGCACTGTGAATATAGGTATACGAAGCCGTGGAATGCCAATGAAAATGAGTTATGCGACGTTTCCCAAAGGCATTTCCAGCAGAGTTTCGACGAATGGCGACTGGGCTGCCTCAGATGTTAGTTCAACCGTGTCCAATAGAACATTGATCAACAAAAAGATATGAAAGGAAGATGATATTAAGCTGTCAAACATTAACGATTAACCGCTTGGATACACTCAAACAAACAAAAGGAAAAAGATGTCAGAATTGTAGGAACTGTAGGAGCAATAACAGAAGGTCGCAATAGAGCAGAAGAATAAGCAATGGTCGCGACTCTTGCACGTTTCATGCAATATATGGGCTAATATTATTGGAGATTTCTTATTATTATTTCTTATTATTCTTATTATTGTTATTATTAAAAAACGTTCCACTACAAATGTATAATCAAATATATCCAGCATATTTTGGTTGCATTGTTCGAGAGTTTCTGCATAACGATTACACCAATAGATGGATTGTAAAAGAGAACTTATTGCTTGGCTTGCATCTCCTGATTTACTAGCCGATAGACAACTCACAATGTAAAAATGTAAAGCGATTTTTATAATTAAGCGTTGGAGTAGAATCTTTTACGTGTGCTAGATTATCTATACAAGAGAATTTCAATTCATTAAAAATTATATTTATAGAACTTTGTAATCGAGAAATAGGTCGGCATCGATAAAACCACTTGGAGTTTTATTTATGAAGATATCTTAAGATTCTTGTGATAGTCCTATCGCTACTGAAAAAGTACTCGGAAATCGTATTATCTCGTGTAACAAAATACAAAATATTCCGAGAATTTTTAACGTCTACGACAATCCATGAGATATCGACATATCAGTTTTGAGTAAATTAAAAAAATAGCTCAAAAACCCATATTTGAAATAATAAGATCGAACATTGCGGAAAGCTAGGAAGATTATTCCTGTGATTTTTGGATCGCTAAACACGAACATAGTGTCAGAATTGCGCTATCGCGTTTCAGTTTATTGTAAAATTTGAAAAGTAACCCGAAAACCCATATTTGAAGTAATAAGATCGCTGATCATGGAAAAGTATTGGTAGGTTTGTTATTTTAATGCGATGTCGCGTTATGTCGTGGCACCCTCCGAAATTCGTTTATATTAGAAAATTTGAGTAATAAATACGTCTTATAAACGCCTGCTTTGACGTACTCTTTTTTTCTTCAAATAACCTATGAAGTGGTTTCTCTTGAGCTTTTTTCCTCTTGCTATATTTTCCCTTTTTAACATCTAACAAAAGCTTTTTATTATTTGGATCATTTATTACTCAGATTTTCTAATATAAACCAATTTCGGAGGGCACGACATAGCGCGGCATTGCGCTGAAATAACGAGTCTATCGACACGTCTACTTTTCCATGATCAGCGATCTTATTACTTTAAATATAAGTTTTCGGGCTATTTTTCAAATTTTATAATAAACTAAGACGCAATAGCGTAATTCTGAAACTATGTTCGTGTTCAGCGACTCGAAAAACGTAGGAATAACATAGGAATAACCTATATTCTCAGCCGTCCACGATGTTCGATCTTATTATTTCAAATATGGGTTTTTGAGGTATTTTTTGAGTTTACTCAAAATTGATATGTCAAAATTCAATGTTAACATCAGATTCGTATTCAGCGACCCAAAAAACACAGAAATAACCTAGCCACATTTCCAGCCTTCCGCGATGTTGTATCTTATTACTTCAAATATGGATTTTTGAGCTATTTTTTGAGTTTACTCAAAATTTATACGTCTAAACTCAACGTTAACATCAGATTTGTGTTCAGTGATCCAAAAAACATTAAGATAGCTAAGTCACATCCCCAGCACAGACAATTTTTTTTGTGGGTCTATGTATCTATAAAAAAGTCAGTAAATATATAGGGTGTCCCAGGACATTCTACAAAGCTCTCGTGAGAACGTAGAGCGCGTCGAGTTGAACATAAAAGACCTTTATCGTTTTGCGATATTCGTAATAATAGCCGAGAAATTAATTGCAAAAGATTAAGGAAAAATGTATGCTGAATGGTAGAGGACGGAGCGCTCGAGTCAATAATATAGCGCGGCCCAATAATATAGCGCGCGGATGTCGGCGCGTAGCGATTGGAAGAAGAATGTACCACTATCTTTGCTTACATCGCTGCACTTCTACATCTCGCCTCGGCGCGGTGCGGCAATGTCAATATACACAAAGCTATTATAGCATAATACTTGGTATGGAATTATTTTCACTTAGGGGTATTATCAGCTATCTAATATCATTCCTCTGTTTAATCTAACTCCAGACAGCACATGATATCATTCGAATATACTCCATATAGCAGGTGTCCAAAATATATCATAGAAATGTCTTAAAGATATATTTGGGATATGCGATATCTTCAAGATATCCTTATGATATATTTGGGACATTCATGCTGTATGGGACTGAACTTATACTGGAACATATATAATGTACTGGTAATATACGCACGATATTTCTTATAGTATATTATTTGTTACATTCTCTTAGGATATACTAAATCGGATATTTATTGAATATAAAAAACTTATCAGCAATGTTCCGTTTAATTATTGAATGTTATAAGTACATCTTGATAGTAATATAACAATGATTTGGAGGAAAAAAAAGAAGACAGAGAGAAGTAATGCAAGAAAGTAAGTGTATATAGTTCAGTTATTGAAAACAAATGCATAGATCATATTTTGAATATTTCGAAGCATTTGTAAGATTGGCCGGACTATATTTATGGCAGTCAATCAATTTACTGCTTTATAGTAACAGGGAAAATGTATCAATTATTTGGTTTGTTCCTTCTACCTGAACTTGTTGCATTACTTTAAAAAATATACATACATATTGAAGCCTATGAAGCGTACGTACAAGATTCTCAAGCTTCAGTGTGCGTACGTTTATTGAAGTAGTGTTACCAGTTTAGTTGAAAAGAATAGATTAATTGTGCCCCTTTTCCAGAGCTGTATTAGATATCAGGGCCCGTCTGCATAAGACGTAGGACATAGAACACGCTCGCATACGACGCGCGACATGCAATGAGTGTACTACTATTCTGGCAAAGTTATATATTGGTAAAGCTATCCATCACTAAATATGACTACATATATAGTAATAGTTACAAGTTTGACTTTGCCGAAGGATCTTTACGGGTCATTTTCCACGGTGCTATCCAGTAAAAAATTAAGTGGTCGTATAGTATAGCTGGAGACTGATTATGGGGCTGATTTGGACTCCTCGTAAACGTTCTAAATGGACCATAATCAGTTTCTAGCAAGATAGTGAAATTTCATTTTTGATTGGGTACGGTGCGACTACGTTTACATGGCAACGTTAATCCGGATTAGTAACAAATGTAGTTAGTGAATTCTTGGATTTTATTGGTATATTCTTTTAGATCTAAAAATGTACTCCAATTGGCTTCGAGAATTCACTAACTACGATAGTTATTAATCCGGATTAACATTGCCGTATAAACGTAATCTATGCCGCTAGCCCTTAGACTGTTCACATTTTCTGCTGTCCTGAGCTTCATTTTTCGAATTACACAAATTTAGCAAACTAAAAAATACGTTACTAACGCAAACTAAAAAAACTCACGCTATTCACAAATGCAAAATACTTAAAATCGATTTTTCGAAATTTCTAATCTATCTAGTTTTCTTAAAAATCAGAAGACATAAAGTTATAAGAAGGTATCTTTAAGACGTCTTATGTTTTCATTTAAGACATTGTTTTAAAGATACCCTATTTTAAGATTTTTACATGCGATTAAACATTTCTAATATTATATAAACATTAAAAAAGGAAGGATATCCTATTTATCATTTTTATTTGCTGCAGTCAATCGAGATTACACTGTGAATTTATTCATTTGCTCTGCTTAGGGTTATTATTGATGACAACTAGCGGATGATGATAGTGGCATCACACACGGATATATACTGATATCTGACATCGTACGTTTTAAACTTTAAAGCTATCATCACGCTAGCTATCATCGAAATTTGACCGTAACTCTTTGCTCTGAGAAACACGCCTTCCACGCACGGAGAGAGTAGTCGACTTGATGGTCTCTATTCTGCGAGAATATTCACACTATGTATACATAGTGCGTTGGAATAAGTCACGTGCGTTAGGTTAAGTTATATATAAGGTCCGAATATCCTTCCATGGCAAGCGCTCTGCGCTCCGTGATTTAGCGGCTACGTCGCTCTTCGACGTGGCGAGACGCACCGTAAGGGAGCGACTCTCTTCGGGCTGTCACCAGTTCGCGCTCATGTGTCCTAGGAGACGCAGTCTCCACGGTCACCTTTAGATTACGCTTGCATTTACGATATCTAAAGGGTACGCTCGCTTCAAGCGTACTGCAGATAGTGAATGTTCGCGAGTTTACAATCGCGACGATTCTTATTCGACTCCGCAAAATGAATTAACCGTTCTTTAGCTAGAGCTGTTCGAAACAATTGCAAAATTGAATAATTTTGTTCGAAATTTTTTGACAAACATGACGAAATTCTCGTACCGATCTGACGACATATTTTGTTTCTTACATCGCTAACTTTCGTCGACTCAGTCGTAATTATTAGCGCTACTATTCGAATCGCTATCGATGCGGAGACGCACGAAACGCAGAGATTACGGGCACGATTTATGGCTGGGATTTAACGCTCTCGTTTCGTTTTTCAGGAACGCCATTTACAACATAAGTCTGCATGACTTAACGGAGATCGTCGACCAGGTGAGTACAGAGCCCTATAACCGTTTCCAATATCTAAAGTTCGACAAAGAATGATTTAAATTGGAGAACCGACAGGAAGATTTAAATAACCCCGCGCTCTCTCGTGCGCTTTTCCCTTCGGGTTACCGTATTTGAAAAACATAAAAATAGATTGTCGCAGCCATCTATAATGTTAAAAGAATTGCTACCGATACTGGTGTTTTTCTCCTCCTCTTTCTTTCTTTCTCAGTCGCCAATGAAAGCGCAATCCTTTCAGCGGATACGATCTAGAGGCGCGCACGTGATTTGTAAAGATACACCGTTGTGCTGGGAAGATACAACAACAATAGCACTGTATCTTAAATAAAAGATATATTTGTCGAACGAGAGAAAATATATCGTCGGTAGAATTGAAACCAAATTGAACAAAATTGAATTAATTAAATTGTTAATAAATTTTAATTTGACGTTTCACATAGGCGTAAATAACTCATGAACAATTTGCAACTCTCGTTAGAAGATTCGATAACTTGTAAGATCTCTACGAATTAGCGAGTTCTTATCCGATTCTTGACACGATAACTACGATCTCTTCTTATCAGACTTCCTGGAAATCGCGACAAATGATAAAAATCTTAATAATCCCTTCTCACGAAAAGACTGTTTTCACAAGGATACCGACACGCTCGCCTCGAAGTTAATTTACGTAATTGAGGCGATAACCGGAACGCGCGTTCGTAGATCTAACGAACCTTCTTTTCGGCGGGGATTTTATTCAATCCTGCTTTCCCTCTCAAACGCACCGAACGTTGGATTTGATACATCGGTGGTATCGCTTTCGCGCGAAACTTGGAGCGGGAGAAACATCAATACTCGAGACCACGAATAAATAAGAAAAAGAGGGAGAATCGGCGACTCGAGAGGACGTGTCGGACGCTCGGCTATACGATATATTCGAATACGACTGAGCGAAGTTTACGAAAACACGTCCATACTCCGATTTAGCTCAAATTTTGTAAACAGTTTTTTTTTTAGATGGAAAGATAAATATATTCGAAGAATTTTTTTGCAACTAGAAAGTTAAAAGACTTCTTTAACATTTTTCATATTTATAATATACTTTATAAATATATTCTTTCGTAAACAATTAACTAAATACAGGAAATAATATGAATATATTTATGTAATTACATATGAAATAAGCAGATGCATATGTTTTATGTTAATTTTCCTAATACACGTATTTCATGTCATTTAAATGAAAATCTACTCTTTATATCTCATATCGTTACAAATATTCATACATCTGACTGACTAACATCTAACTGACTAACTAACATGTAACTGACTAATATAAAGAACGGGAAATTTTATGTCCGGATATGTATTTAGTCACTGGGACAAAGTGATCCCTGAGGGTCATTTGAAGGTCAACGGTTGGATAATTCTTCAGAAAAGCGTTTTCAGAAAAAAATGTTTGAGTGATTAAAGCGAGATACTTGATGGTGACTTTGACCAAAAGTGAAGTTTAGAGGTCATTCAAGATAAGTACATTGTCCAGCCAGTCAAAGCAAGACTGTAATGACTGTCGAGCCAATTAAGGCAAGACAAAGTATTATCCAGCCAGTTCAGGCAAGATTGTAATGACTGTCTAGCCAATTAAAGCAAGACAAAACATTGTCCAGCCAGTCAAGGCAAGACCGTAATGACTGTCCAGCCAATTAAGGTAAGACAAAGCATTATCCAGCTAGTCAAGGCAAGATTGTAATGACTGTCCAGCAAATTAAAACAAGACAAAGCATTATCAAGGCATTAGAGTAGACTGGTAATTGAAAGTATCATCAATGGATCAAATGCTCAAACTGTTGACAATTGGCTTCTTGGCAATAAGCTATTGATGATAAAAAGTTGCAATTGCATTTTTGAAATATTCAGCAGGTATAAGAGCGGCTTCATTTAGTATTCGTTAACGCAATTCATCTAAATTTTGAGGTTTAGTTGTGTACACCCGATCTTTTAGATAACTCCACAAAAAATAATCGAGAGGGGTCAAATTTGATATGGCTGGCCACTCAGTCGCGCCTCTCCGTCCTATCCACTGATCAGGGAAAACCATGTCTAAGTAAACATGAACGTTTCGTCGAAAATGGAGTGCAGCACCATCCTGCTGAAACTATACGTGCTCAAAGTTTTCGCCAGCAATCCTTCTTATTGCCGGAACTATTTGATTTCGGAACATATCTTCATAGTTTGCGGCGTTCAAATTGTCATCAACGAAGAATGGTCCTATTAATCTATTATTTAATATTTCAGTCCCAACGTTCAGTTTCTCCGGATATTGCGTATTATGTTCTCGCATCCAATTAGGATTTGTATCGGATCAATACAGTTATGCTTATTCAAAGTACCATCTAGTTGGAATGTTGCTTCATCCGAGAAAGCTATATTTGATACAAAGTCAGGATCTTTATCTACTCGGAATATCATATCCTCACAAAACTCCACTCGTTAATCGAAATCATCTTTATTTGACTTATGAACAAGTTTAATTTTGTAAGGGTGAAATTTATTTTTTTTCAATATGTTATGGACAGATATTCTACTTATTTCATGTTCTTGAGCAATTTTGCGGATAGAACTATGAGGGTTTTCTATGAATGATAATAAAATATGCAATGACTTTTCTATATTTGTTGCTGAACTCTTCCATCTAAGATCTAGGTCGATTTTTGACGCTACTTGTATCTTCAAACTGTCTAACAGTTCTTTCGACAGTTGATTTTGAAATAGGAACCATCCTATTCCTAAAAGTTGCATTGAAAAGGTTCTTTGTTTGATCATAAGATCTTCTGACCTCATCCCAACTTCTCATCATTAGAAGAGATATTCTTTCTCGTTCAGTAAGAACGTTGCATTTTGGCGGACAGTAATAATACAAATGGAAATTTTCGGATACGTATTTGTTCAACTTTTTTAATGATTTCTGATCAATAACTCAACTATTTTTTTTAGATCTTAGAATAACAATGGATAAAAAACCAATGGATAGTTGAAAGGAAAACAATTTTCCAAAAAAAAACTAATTCATCATTAAATAGATGAAAAAGTCTCATTAACAATTCTTGTTTAACGAACAGATACAATCGAAAAGAAATCTCTAAACAATATCAATCGGAAATTTCTGGGTTCAGAGTAATTCTACATACAGTACGCATTACGAAACAGTCGTGATGAAAAATTTGATGCATGGAGCATAATGAAAAATATCTCGAAAGTAATCTAATTTTTCTAATTAGTCTTTTGACATGATTTTATATGGGAAAATTTATTCAGTTCCTGGATGACTTCTAGGAATGAGCTTGACTCAATTTTGACCAGACATTACGTTCACATTAATGTCATACAAATTTGTCGTGTACGAATGTACTTTATGGAGTGAATTTTTTCATTAACGGTCATTTCGAAAATCAATAGATTCAAATTACCTTCAAATAACCCTCAAGGATCACTTTGACCCAATGACTAAATATGGACGTAAAATTTCCAATTTTTTCCATTTCCGAGATAAAAATGGGAGTTTCCATTTAAGATTTTCAAGTTTACCTTGAAATGACCTTTAAACTTGATCTTTGGGTCAAGATCAAGATCATCATCGAATTCCTTGTTTTTAATCCTAAAACTTTTGTATTTAATGCTTTTTCTCGATAACGCTTTCCTGAGGAGTTATTTAACCGTTCCAGAACTTTTTGGACACCTGTATATAAAAGACGTTCTAAAGACGTCTTAAATAAGATATCTTTAAAACATTACCTAAAGACATCTTACTTCTGATGTCTTTTAGGCGTCATATTTCAAATGTCTTTATGACGTCTATTAAATGACATTTCTAAGACTATATATGTATATATGATTGTCTATATTACCGACTATGAGGTTTATACTGTCGCAAATATCATAACGATCACCTTTTACTTTTTTTTTGTGAGCATTGTGTACATGAAGCATGTCAAAATCTTGGAGAAGTTATTAAATTGTAAATTTGTATAATTTAGTCAGTCTACTTTTAAGTTGCAGTGCCGAGTGAAAATTTATTTTTTTCCATACAGATAGTTCTTAAAAGTAACAGTTAGACTGTGGATTTGCTCATTTGTCCTGATCAGTATTAGGTATCGATGACAGTTAATCAATGTTGATGATAACCGACATTGTGTGCTTTAAAAAAATTTTAAATCATATACCACTATTTCAAATTTTAAATTTTAAATCATATACCGCAAATATCGTTATTCGTCAGCATATGTTTTAAAATTTAAAGTATATATTTTAAAGTTTAAAGTATATGTCGAATTCGATGTGCCGAATATCATCATTATCCGCTAGCTGTCATTGATATCTAATTTCAACGGAGAGTAGGACGGATAAGCAAATTTACATTCTAATCATAACTCTAAACTGCAGATAATAAATAAAACATCCTTATTTTCTTAATGTGTATATAATTACAAAATAAAATAAAAGTAAAATCTATAATAGCATATATAAAGGTCTCTATTCGAGTAGTCTTAAAGACATCTTTAAGATGTTTAAAAACAACGCCTTAAAGACGTCTTAAAATAATGTCTTTAAAACGTCTTGGGACATAAGACGTCTCTTAAAGACATTATAAAGATGTCTCTCTGATAACTTTTTATGACGTCTGAAAAACTTTAAAACGTCTTTTAGACGTCTTTAAGACGTCGTATTGTTGTGTGAGTAAACATTCGTATAACATACAAAATGTTTTAGCTGCTAATTCATTATTTATAAAAAAATCATTAACAAAATAAATTTCATAAATAAGTCATAGTTTTCTGACACTGTGTACATTTAAAAAGTAAACACGTGATGCGTGTTATATATTAACAAGTAAAAATAGAGGTCTTCGCAAAAACTTAATCTAATTTATCTTATACTGCAATTTTAGACAAAATCGTAAAACTTGTAACTTGTTTTCGTAAGACTCGTTAGAACTTATGAATAGG